CCAGGCATCAGGAATGCCAATTGGATTTGACATGGTCCCTTCCCTCAGGGAACTCATAAGCCAGTTGGGAGAAGAGATGCATATGACTGGGTGAGGTGGTAAATGCCATGGGGTAGAAGTGAGGGGTAGCTGAGCATTCAGGAAGATGTGAATACTCAGTAGCTACTGAGTATTCACTCTGCCTGACAGGGTCAGGGAAGACTTCCTGGTTGCGGCTGGGTCCTGAGTCTGAATGAGACATGTTTCTGGTAATGGGACTTCCCACCAGTAACAGACGTGCTCCTATGGCCAGTTGGCATGGAGGAGTAGACTGTGAGGCTTAAAGTTGCTTCTCCAAACCAGAGATTTGAGGCATTAGACATCACTCAAAAGGAGAGACAAGGGACCAAAGCAAGAATGATCTGAAAGGAGACAAACACGTATTACATGTTTCAGTTTTGGGAGGGATGGGCAAGAGAAGGAAGTTTGAAATGAGGCTGAGAACCAGCTTGATTCCTTCTTGGGTGGACTTCTCGACGCTTCTTCCAAGCCTGATCGTATCACTTCTGACTCCACACCCACGAAGGTGGAGCTGCATGTCTGTTTTTTCTACCGATCTGACATTCAGACCATAGGGACAGTTACTTCTCTGTGCCTTGGCTAATGAGGCTGGTCCTCAAGGTATGTCTGCCTAGGGTTCCTTGAGCATTTTATTTTATCCTTTTATTTGATTTTCTATTTTACTTTTACACTGGCAACTTAAAGTATAAAATTGGTTACTGATAGACTTTCAAAAAATGTCCTCAGTGCTATGTTAATAGTTCTAGGCCCCAAGCGATAAGTTTAGACAAGTGATGCTTTTCTTGGTCTTAACACAGCTTCTGGAAAACATGACAGAAGTGGTTCGGAAAGGAATTCAGGAAGCTCAAGTTCAACTGCAGAAGGCCAATGAGGAGCGCCTTCTGGAAGAGGTGAGCCTGCAGAGGGGCTCAGGCTGGGGGCCAGACTGGACAGGGTGATGTTGAGCAATGTTGTGTTTTGCAGGGGGTGTTACGCCAGATCCCTGTCGTAGGGTCCGTGCTGAATTGGTTTTCTCCAGTCCAGCCTTCACAGAAGGGAAGAACTTTTAACCTAACAGCAGGTAGGACTCACAGCCTCCTCCCAGACTCATGTACCTTGAGAGTTTTGACCAAATGCGCTGGGATCCCACACTCAGATTGAAAAGCCTCGTGTACGTCCCATGCTTTATCCTGGGTACCGTGCCAGGAATCTGTGCCTGTGACTGGCTCATCTTCCCTCTCCTGCCCCGCCTGCTGAGATGGCACGGAAGCAGAGACACATTGCCCACCGCAGACTTCCCTGGAATCCAAAGAGAACATGTTCACTCAGCTGTTCAGACCCTCAAGACTGGGCATTTTGCTTCAGTGTTAATATTGCAGTCCTCATTCGTGTTTCGCCCAGCGAAGGGCTGCCATTGAAAGGGACAGTTGAAAGACTGGTCTATAGAACTGGCAGTTGAATTTCAAACTAGGCAACCAGCAAGAATTACAAGTTGCTGGGGTTTGGGGAAGATAATATCCAACTATAGGACTTCCCCTTTCTTGTTCTGGCAGGAGCCCCTTCCTCTGTCCCTTCCCCAGGAAATGATGTCTCCACTGTCATATGACAACCAGAGATAATCTAATTTTGAGCCTACCACGCCTCAGCCTTTAGCAGAGGCATCCATTAAAAGTACGGTTGCTAAAGCACTCGGAGGGGGAAGCTAGGGTCTTTCCCACGTGGGCCTGGCTCTCCAGGCATGCTGAGGCCAGCCACACTGCAGGCTGAGTGTTTTCACATGTACACAGGATACCTGGGGAGGCAAGGATGAAACATACCAGCAGGGCCGGGACTCATAAACAGCCGTGAGATGGCTTTCTCCAGTTCCTGGCATGTTTCAGGGGCTCCTAAGGCTCCACTAGTCTATGCAAGGCTGCGTGGCCAGAGGAAGCTCAACAGGGAACAAGGCTGAGTGGGAGCATCTCCCAAGGCAACCCGTGCCAGGATTTCCAACCGCCCCTCTACTCCTTTTCCTGGCAGGCTCTCTGGAATCCACAGAACACACTTACGTCTACAAAGTACAAGGTACAGGAGTAACACCACCGCAGACCCCCTCAGGCACTCGCACTAAACAGAGACTTCCAGGTACATCTGCATGTTTGAGTTCATTAACACTAAAGAAAATGGGTGGTATTTCTCTTGGGAAAATAGACCTTTTTGCATCATGTAATGGTATTTCCATTTGGTATTACTTGCATCCCTTTGTTTTCCTGGTTGTTTAACCCAAAGTCCTATTTATCTTCGATTAATACCAGCTGTCTCTTTAAATAACCATTCCAGTAGCCTTGGGCTTTAGCCATGGGGGAATACCTCCACTGCATTCCCAAGGGGGGAGGTAGGGTCTCCAGAGCTCGCATCATATTTAACCTGGTGTTTACGCTCCTGAGTTTTTCACTATTAAGGCGACCTCAAAAGTTCCCCGCCTTGGGAGCATGTCAGTCTCCTATCAGCTGTCTTTTCTTGCCTCATCACTTAAATGCTTCAGAGCCAGTAATTCCGGGGATTTCCGCAGAACGGTTGGAATGTGTTGCTGGGAGAGCTCCATTGCAGAAGTGTCCTTTACCGCGCTTCAGTGCTGTACCTCCCATCTTTCTCTAGGCCAGAAGCCTTTTAAAAGGTCTCTCAGAAGTTCAGATGCTCTAAGTGAGACAAGCTCAGTCAGTCACACTGAAGACTTAGAAAAAGTGGAGCATCTGTCTGGTGGGCCGGAACAACGGGCCCTGGAGGCTCACAGCCCCGAGCAACACCCAGGGGCTCCTACCCCTCAGGAAGCCAAGCGGACTGGAGACTCCCAGAACAGGGTCCAGGGCCCAGAAGATGACCGCCCACAGGTAGAAGAACCCGAAAGCTTAAGATAAAACTCAGTGTTTGGTTTGAGAGTGTATTGAATATTTTGTCAAGAAAGATGAAGTTATACTGAAAATGTGAACTGTGCCACATGCTAATACAAGAGAAATTACTGTTATTTGTGCTTAGGTGGGATTTTTGCACAAGTATGTGCCTGAAAGCCAGGCTTCCTAGGAGGGGTAATTGACTTGTCTAATTTTATGGGTATAGAGATCAGCTGTTGTTTCTGTCACCCCAACTGTAGTAATACATTTTATCCCCAAGTTACTATAAACACTTTTTATTCACAAAGAACACTCAGAATGTCAAGTGCCTGCCACTTGAAACACCTGCTCTTACCTTTGTAAGCATAAGTTATTAGGTTGCACATAACTTCTTGGTAAGACAGTTTTCTTTAGACCTCTGCAGGTTCTGTTGAACTGCTGCAGAGGACAGACAGCTTTTGCCACTTGCATTAGTTGGTGATTACTTTGATCGGGTTGCAGTACACAACTGGATCGTGTTGGCTTGAAGGAGAATGGGTCTGTTTCAGTGGGACTGTAAACAAGAGTGTCAGAGAAGCCCTCTCCTGCCACCCCCACCTGCTGCTCTCCCCGGCGATGGAAGGACTGTGTCCGTGCGAGTTGCAGCAGGCTGTCGAGCAAGTTAGGTGGGGCAGTGCTTGTCTGGCCTTCCTCTGCCACGGATCCATTTCTCCCTTTATATACTATTTGTAAACAAATTAAAGGATTCATCTATTAGGAGTAACTGCAAAGACTCTTCTTGACCATATATATGTATATTTTTAAATACTGGTAAAGCTTTTAAATTGGCACAAAAGAACAGACTGTGCTCATTTCTGTGTTTCATATCTGAAAACCCAATAGATGCTTCTCTTAAGAGCCTAATAGTAAATATGCTATGTAGCACCCAGTTAAATTTAAATCCTAAAATAAGTCTGTGACTTGTTTCACATGGGAGCTTCTGTAGCTTCTGTTCCACTAGCAGCTCACCCCTTTGGGGCCAGCTCAGAAACAAGAACCTGAGAAGTTCCCAGGTTACCTTTCCCAGGCTGATCAAGCCAGACTCCTGCTAAAATAACTGAAGGTTAGCTCTTAATGACTGCCCATGTCCACTGTTCTGGAAGCACGGCACCCCTCCATTTACCCTAGGTGATGGCCCTGTGCCTCTAGTCCAGCAGCCAGCCTGGAGAAACCTCTAGGCGGTGGGAATCCACACTGGGTTTGTGGACTGTAGTATTGGAAGCCTTAGTTATACCACAGCAGGCCTATAATTACATTCTGATTTAATGTGATTTCTGACATTTGGTACTTGTCAAAATGCAATTTTCCTTTCTTTTTTTGGGGGGGTGCAAATGATCGAAGTCTTCCCTGTTTATTTGGTGCAATGAAATATAGCAGATAAAATGGGGGAAGGGGAAATTATCACCTTTAACAAGATTAATTTTTAGACATTTTTATATATATTCGGAATTGTTAAGTTGGTTTTGCTGAAACAGAATTTCACCCTTGAGATACTATTTCAATGTTGGTTTCAATAAAGGTTCTTCAAATTGTTACCAGTGAGTTCAGTTCATAAATCTTACTATTAATTGGGCATAGTGAATTCTTTTAGGTTAGATAGCAACTTCAGAAAGATTTCAAGTAAAATTTGCAAAGAATCACAATTTGGGCATTTATCAGTGGTTTCATATAACACTCAGATTAAATTTAGTCTCAGGGGAAGTTATTACTGCAAAACAGTGAGATCAAACCCTGTTTGTCTTTCCAAACTTTTCATCTCATTCATCTAGAAATGTATTTACAGCAGTTTTGGATTTGATGCTTCTAAAATATTTTGGGGTGCTAAAATACCCTCTGTGAAATGTATAAATTCTCACTGAACTTTATTTTAAATATTAGTTTTAAAGCAAATTCCATTACAATTTTCTTTATTCACTAGTTTTATAGAATTGGAAATACTTACCTAAGTAACTGAAATAGCTGTCACAGAATAGTGAGGCAGGTGGCTTCTCCTCTGCCCCTTATTACTAACCAAACAAGAAAAGCTGGAAACAAAAAGTAAACTTAAACAAATGCCTTTGCCAAAATAAGATTTTATTTTGAAAGTCATCTGAAAGACACCAAGACTCAACAGATGTGGATTCCAAATTCATATTCTGTCCAACCCCCACCAATAGTCTCTGTCATGCCAAAAAGTTGCTTTGGTAATTTCCTATTTTTAGCTCCCTGCAGAAGAGATCTTTTCCCATAAGCCATCTTCATTTTTTTTGTAGAGCAGAGCTTTATTTCCAGGAAAGAGTGTGTTTGTTGGAGATGGGTATTTTTTTAAAAACACCAAGGTAGACCTAATATGTTCAACAAAGTGGGGGGGCTCCGCCAGAGGTGACGTGGAAAGGTTCTGGAAGACAAGATTTGAGGCATGAGAAAATATCCTCGCTCTGTTCCCTACTTTGATAAAAGATGTCAAATAAAATACACTTTTGTTTCTTAAACGTTAATTAGGATGTTCTTGGACCACTATATAAATATATATAAATTGTAAGATCACCTAAGAACGGAGGTGTACGGGGTTAATGAGAAACAAAGCAGTTGGTTGCTTAGTGCTTTATCCATGCCAGTGTCTATCCAGGGCATCCCTTATCCCCCAACTGATAGAGAAGTGAGTGGGGCCTGTCAGTGGCCTCCTAAAAATAACTACTACCCAATGAAAGAAAAGCAGCTTTTAGTCTAAACCCTTTTTTCCTTACAGACGAGGATGCTTGGGTCCAGAGAGTTAAGGTTTGCCCAACCTGTAAATTCTCACCTCTAATATTTGCTTATCATCTTGCTGTAACCAGAAATCCACATGTGGAAATGGCGTCCAGGAGTACGGCCCTATACGAAGTTGTTCTGTCTTTGCATCGTAAATACTAATCATCTGAAAAAGAACATTTCAAGGACAGAATTTAAGGAATGCCTTCAGCTTCTCAAACACTACCATGAAAGCAGACTCCAGCACAGTTTGGCAGTTAAGGCATTTATCTGAATGATAAGCTTTAAAATTTTGTCTCCTAATAACAAAAGCTGCTACTTACTATATCCAGCTGTCTGGTAACTGCACTTTGTGGGTAACATATATTATTTTGTTAGTCTTGGCAACAGTCCCACAGGAAAATGGCACTCTTCCCTTTCTGGTTGAAAACCCGAGGCTCAGACAGGTCACAGAGCCAGCCACAGCCACGCTCCCAGTAAGCAGCAGAGCTGGGCCTCAAACCCAGGTGTGTCTGAAGTCCACATTCCCTGTTGCTACATACAACACTACCTTGTTATTTATGCCCAAGCAGCTAAGTTACCTTGCAACTTTATACATGCCTGTTGCCCCATCAAAAGAAAGGGAAAACAGTTTGTAAAAATGCTAATTTGCCAAATGATCAATTCTCTGAATTCTCAAATTTGTCAATGGTCATTCTCAGCTTAACCAGCAATGTTCAGTTTTGGTTATTGAGACTGAAGTACATTCTGAATATTATGTAAATCAAGGCCATTATGCCACTTGAGGAATTATAAAAGGAACCCTAAAAATGTTATAGGGCTGGCAAAATGGGTCATTCTCAATCCAGACATTATGTTCCAGTGGCAGTGTCAGCATTACATTGAGTGAGCAGATCTTTTTTTTGGTGCTCTGAATGTAAGTTCTCTTTTTTCACACTCTACGCATTTTTAAAGGATTTTTTCCGCCTGTTCCTCAAATGGCATGCCAATCTTAGGTTTTTCGTTTTCTTTTAAAATTAAAATGTTATTTAATTGAAAAACATGCTGAGGCAACTAGACTTTAATAAGGTGATTTGATCAGTCTTTTGATCAGTTTGTTCCAGCAGGTCATTCTTCAGTGACTTGGTCCCAAGGAGCATATGATCCCAGGCAAAGAGGAAAGAAGCTTCTCTTTCCCCCTTCCTGGCTCTTTGTAGGTAGTTCTTAGACAGTAAAAGAGGTTCATTCTGTTTGGATTAGATACTGGGGTTCATATTACTTCCCTCTACATCTTCAAGGCGGAGAAGTGGGGTCTTGAACTTATAACCTAAAAGCATTCAGTGTGTGTGTTTTGGGGGGAGGGGCATGATTAACCCACAGCTTTACAGAAGCTGACATGAAGTTTTCATTTCTAAGGTCTGTAAGGCTTTGTGGTTTGCTGCCCCTTTTTTCCTTAACCCCTAACACAAAGGTAACTGCAGACTCACTGGTCCTCCTGTTAAAGCGCGTGCAGCACGCAGCTCCTCCTCCGGCCCGCGATCGTGGAAGGAGGCTCTGTAAATCTCTGCAGTTTTAATGTTGACGGCTGTGAGAGACAACAGGCTGACTGAGCTGGCGAAAGACAAACATGGAAACTTTGCACAGGCCTACAGTTCTCCCACTGTACATAACAGAATATGGACAAGTCTCTCTCAAAAAGAGAAGCGAATGGAAATGAAACAAAATTACTTTTAGCCACGCATCTCACTCACATGAGGCCTAAGCTGAACTAGGTTCAGTGAGACTGTCCCGGGCCGAGCGCCGGCGCCCCCTGGGCAAGGCCCTCCTGGCCGGCCCCGTGACCAAATATGTCTGCAAGTGGCTGGGTGTGATCAAGGCCAAGTCTGGTGTTTTTGTTTGTTTTCCAATTTTTCCTACCCATTTTAGACATATACAAAGTTATAATGAATAAAATAATGCACATCTGTACACCCACTACCCAGCTAAATATGTAAAATATTACAGATATGGTAGAAGCTCTCTGCAAGTAACAGCCAGTTTCACCCTATTATATCCTTAAGTCTTAGCAGCCGTCACTGGAGTGGAAGTTGCTGGATTTTCCCTCATCTGATGGTTAATACTTTTCTTTGTAGGATCTTTGTTCTCAACCAAAACCTCACTTGGTTTCCTACATGTAAGAACATTTTAGGCCCCCTCCGGCCCCTGAAGCCCCTGCTGGAGGAAAGCACACCTGGCAGCCTCAGGTGGGCACAGTGCCACCAAACATCCCCCTTACCGGTGGCTCTGTCCACGCTGTGTACCTGCTGCCTGGCTTTCTCCTCCCAGGCTTCGGATGTGAACCCTTCCTCCCTCTGTAGATAATGCTTAGAGAAGGTAAGCTGCTTGCCCAGGGTCCCCTGGCAAACAGGGACCTAAGCCTGTGACATACTGACATCAGGGGGCTCACTAGGTCACAGCATCGGCCTCTAATTGGAGCCTGCCTCGTCAGCGGGTGGCCAGCCTTCAACCCTCAAGTAAATATACTACTTACCAATGCCATAAATGATTGGAAAGTGGTTTTCATTTTCTTCCCGGTCGTTTAATTCTAATAAACAAAAACAATTTTTTTAAGATCCAATTTTTAAGAAATACTGAACAATTGCTTTCACTTTATAATAGAGGCCAAGAAGGAGCCCCCACTGCAAAAGGGGGAAAACAGACAATGAAAGGGGGGGGCCCTGCCTCCTTGACGAGGCCCAGAGCATTCAGGTTCATATGGAACAAACTGCCACTTGCAGAGTTAGCACCGCCCAACCGTCTACACGCCCCGCTGTCTGCCACTCAAGGCAGCAGCGCCTGCTGGGGGGGGCGGGTGGTCTCTTCCGCCCAGGAGTACAGAGGCTACTGAAAATCCCAAGGAAGGAAAGATGAGTTGCACTAAAGGGCGCCAGCATCTCAACTGAGGCTGAGCATGGTCTGGACGTTGGGAAGGAGGGGAAGGCCATTCCAGCAGATGGAAAAGCCAGAACAAATGTCAGCAAAGCACAGCAAACTGTGTCTTCTAGGAGTGAGGTACTGACGCTAGGTCCTGCTTCAGGTTGAGGGCAAAATGTCTCTGAAATTCATAGCTTTGCTTTGGGAAAGATGGCAAAACCTACCTGTCACACATAATGTCACTAAGTGAATGTCATCTTCTTGTCTGTCAAATTCACCTACAATCAGAATTTTAAAACTGGACATCAGAAAAACTCCTTTAATTAGCAGAATATATCCTAAGCAAGTCAAGAAGGGGACAGAAGGACGGAGGCCAGGTTGGCGTGACCTGACGCCACGGATCCCTTCGCTCTAAGTGACAGCGTGCTCCTAGCCTCCAGCCCAAAGGTGACTGACCAAGGCTTTCCATTCCTCTCCATTCTGAGAGGTTTGAGGGGATAAACTGACTCAAGATTTTTACTCTTCCTAGTAAGTTTTTTTTTCTGATTCTCAGTCAAAATTTGAGCACTGACAAACTACGGCGAATACAGGAGATTATAAGGGGTAATGGGTTTAGTGGTAGAAGTACCTGGGTTTGAATGCCCATGACCTCAGTACGCTGTGCTGAGGCCTGCGCACGGCCGGGCTCACGGCACGCAGACAGTTTTATATCCCAGTTTTGTACACAGGTATGTTTTTTCCCGTGGAATTCAAACTTCCTCCTAAGTCCTATTTTTTAACATCTACATAATTACTCTTCTACTGATGAATGTTAGGTTATTTCCTACTGTACATGTTCCACTGCTTGTCTGAGCACAGATCTGCACAGTTCAGATTACTGTGCTAGAACAGACCCCCAGAAGGAGAACGACTTGATCACAGGACATGAACCCCTCCCAGACCTCACTGCTTCCCCAACAGGTTGTACCAGTGCACGTCCAGTACTGTGTGACTGTGCCCTCACTGCCTCTCGGTTAATTAACACAAAACAATGCGTTTCTTAAAATGTTCTTGCTCACTGAGTAGGGAAAAATGGTATGATCAGTGTTTTCATTTTCTTCAGATTAAAATGGCCACTTCTGCCCTGGCTGGTGTAGCTCAGTGGATTGAGCGTGGGCCTTCAAACCAAACTACCGCAGTTCGATTCCCAGTCAGGGCACATGCCTGAGTTGCAGGCCAGTTCCCAACAGGGGACGCATGAGAAGCAACCATACACTGATATTTCTCTCCCTCTCTTTCCCTTCTCCTCTAAAGATAAATAAATAAAATCTTTAAAAATAAAATAAAATGGCCACTTCTGCCTGGAGGGAGGTTCTGTTTTTCCGTAATTCTTGTCCCCATCCAGTTAGCCCCTAAAAACTCAGCTCTCTGCTGCTCAGTCTTTATAGAAGATTCCTAGCTGAGCAGTTCATGTCACTCCAGGAAGGTGTGCCCCTCTTCAACTGTGTCCTCCCTGGACTTATTCAAGGAAAAATGGGTACAAATTTTACCAAATTGGTGGGGAAAAAAAAACAGTGCACTTACTAAGAAGCTGATGAGTTAGTTTTCGTGACAACTGCCTTTCATCACTGAAGCCGCCCACGAGGTGCACCTCCAGCCTGGCAAAGAGATGGGACGGGGGTCAGAGGCCAGCACGAAGCAGCAAGAGTGCAATGGTTCTGCTGTGAATGGCGGTTCTCGGCTTCCGTGAGCCCTCACGCTACAGCAGTGCTCCTGGGCCTTGTTCGTGCCGTGACACACACACACAGGAGACCGTGTGGCTCCCTGGGGTAAATGGTGAGGCTGCCCAGGCCAGGCAAGCTTCTGGAGACCCTGTCCAGGAACCCCAGTGGCTAAGTGGATTTATATCATCACAAATATGATGCCACCTTGATCCAGCAAGTGAGGAACTTTGCTCCAGAAGAGTATGACTCTATCGCACTTATTTACCCACCCAAAGCAGGACACCTCCCTAAAGCATCTTCAGTGTCCTCGCCTAAGGGGAACGGGGGTGGAGAAGTAGGGAGGGAGGACAGCTTACGCTGACTACGCCTGTCCTGTGCAGAGACTGAAGTGGCCCCTCCACAGAACTGTCCCCCTCATGCCCACCTCTCCTGGAGAGAGGAATGATCCTCTCCACCCCACAGAGAAGGAAACTGGGTTTCTGTCTAAAGCCCCGAAAAGTTGGCCGCATGAAACAGAACAGTGTTCTTGCAGTTAAGTACGTGTGGGAAATCTTGCCTACTGTAACCCCTCCCCAGGAGTCACAATGCGCGCTAGCAAAGAAAAGCCCTCAGAAGTCCAAGAGTTGACAAAATCAAACTAACTTTGTTTATCCCCATGTTTCCCATGATAATTTGTCTACTAGCCACCAGTCCACAACTTGGAACAACCTGGGGACTAGGGTTTTGGAAAGTGCGGCTCTATTTCACAGGGCCGTGAGGAATGGCTGGAATCCCGAAGGAAGCAAGCACGGGCTGAAGCATCGAGTGGCCCCATAACAGACACCTACAGGGAGAGGAGCCGTCATCGCCATGGCTTTGCTCAACATGGGGCTACAGGTTTGCCTTCCGCATCGTGGTTGCAGCAAACCTTCCCAAATGACCATGAGAGTTCCACGAACAGAACAGGGCTATCTCACAAGTGCGTTCCCAGAATCACGGAGCCGGGCCTGTGGCCAGGTCCCGCTGTGTAATCAGTGGGGCCCATTGCAAAATGAAAAGGCTGTTCAGCAACTGCACAGGTCGCGTGCCTGTAAAGCTGGCCCAGCCTGTGTCACAGGCAGAAACAGAATTAAATTTAAAAACTGATTTCTGTTGTACTAGTAAAACTCTGAGAGGCTTAAAAATATCCCTGGAATTCTAAGAACTCGTACATGAGAGAACTAGTTCATTCAATGGCTACCTTAGATTTCAAATAAAATGAAAGCAAAGCCCACAAAGTCTGCCTAATGAGAGAGAAAGGAGAGTGGGACAGGGGTGTGAGCACAAGGCAGACCCGTGTCATGGGCCTACCACTAACTAGCTGTGTGAGTCCAGCTCAGCTGAGTCACAGTGACCACAGCTGTGGAGGTGGTGACACTTCCTGTAACCAGGGAGGGTTGGATGCTGTGAGGCACGGCCAGGCCAGACGTCAGCTCTTGTAAGGAGTCCACGATGAAACCACTGAAGTACTGGCACCTAAAACTGTACCCCCAGCCTGTCAGCCATCCCGTCTTTCCTGCCGTGTTTTTCTCCATGGTCCTGCCCACCATTTAATATTCTACTCTGCTTACTGAATGGCTCCTTGCCTTACAATATGAACACAGTGGCGGCAGGTCTGGTCTACTCTGTCCACTGCTATGTCCTTGGCACCTGTCACAAGTTCTTGCTCACAGGAATCTTTCAATAAATAATTGCTGAAGGGATGAATGAATGAAGAGATACTAGATACTACATATGGGGAATAACAAAAGCAACATCTCAAAAGCAACATCTGACATACGAACATCTAAAAATACACTACTAAAAGTAAAACTACAGGTGCAAGTTCACACCTTTCATTTACACTCCAGCACTGCTTCCCTGCTCACCCATCGCCCATTCATTCACTCAACGACTACTGACAAGAGGCCATGCTGGGCCCAGCTCTGCTCCAGGGGAATAAGACAGATATGTGACAGTGACATTCTGTGCTTCTGTACAGCTTCCACAGCGATTTCCTCTACACACAGGTGCAAAGTTCCTGATACCACAAAACAGAGTAGTGTGAAGCTCACCTTCCACATTCAGTGTGGTTGGAAAAGGATTTTATGGAGTTCATGATCAAGGGGACCTCAGCCTTGGTGTCGGTTCCATCACAGTGTGTCAAGCAGGTGGCCCCATTACCTGAAGAGCAAAGAGTGAAAGGACTCATGTTATTCCCAGTGAGAACTCAGTAGGCAGGCCGGGTCTACTCCCGTCCATTCGGACCGCCTCATCTTTGAACGTCCTGTAAGGAAAAGCAGAAACTGTGCTGCCCAGACAACCCGTTCTGACCAGGGCCACAGGGAGACACCATGCAGACCAGAACGGTAAGCGGGGTCAGGTCTCAGAGAGGACACCAAGACACTCCAATCAAGAAATGAATGGTCCCAAATGTTGGGTCACTTTAAGTAATGATTTCCTTTCGTCTCTCTTGCCATACCTGTGTGCCTCAGGACCACAATGTGACAAGTGGTGGCATCATCAGAACCCAGAATGGAGATGGAGCCTGTTTAAAAAAGAAATAACATAAAATATCCAATAGCCTTTTGGGATAATGCCCAATTCACTGCTTCCTAACCTACCATCCTTTGGGGAGGTCACTGCAAGCTCTCTTTGCTGAACATACAGAAGGCCCTGGGGTCCCACTTGTTGAACAGACTGACCTCTGAGAAGTCTGGCTCTTTCCTGTTTAATTAAAAAAAAAATAAAATAGTGATGGAAATTAGTGACAATTGAGTAACTAGAGAGGTGGAGAGAGCCAAGTGTGCCCCAAGTGGGAAACACACACTTGTAGGGCTGAGGTGTGTGTGTTACTTGACAGAAAGGCTAAAACAAAAATAACTCTCATGGGGAACAATGCAAAAAAATAAGTTTGTTCTGTTTTAACCTATAAAACAAGGTATTAGTGCCTGTGGAATGAGATACAAAAATCCTTTTTCACAGTTTTTTAACTAAAGAATATGAGACTCTCCACAGTTTTACAACTGTAAAGAGATTCAGCTTATAGGTGAATCTCTAGTGGATCAGAGGCTCAGAAACCACATCCCTCCTTTACTTGCTTTACAGAGGTAGAGGGGTTAAGACCTTCCCTACCCCCTAATCTGCTATCCCATTCTGTAAATAATCCCAAATCTCTGTATGATTTAGGGCGGCAAAAAGCTGGGAGCACCAATAGGACAGGTAAGTAAATTGTGCAGAGCCAACTCACAACTACTAACTGCACCACCAGGGAAAAGGAAGACTATGGGAAACTAGTTTTGAAATGTACACTTAAAAGCAAGATACAAAAGTATAAAAAATGTAAAGCTATAAATATGTTCTTAACACTACCATGCTAAAATGCTGCTATACCTAGGAAAAAATACTAGAAGGAAGTTTACCGTTATGAGCTTGGTTACGTTAGAACAGGGCAAACAAGTAATTTAACTGCGGTCTTTAATCTTTAAATCTTTTATGATGTAGTTACATTATTATTAAAGTAAAAGACCAAAAAGGGGCAAATTTGCAAAAAGGATATATAAATATTAGATGTCAACATTTTGTTTAATCGAATATTTGTATAAATTCTTAGGCAGTAAACCTGGGAAAAAATTTAGATGGTTAATGAACCCTGGCTGGTGTAGCTCAGTGGATTGAGCATGGGCCTGTGAAGCAAAGGGTCGCTGGTTCGATTCCCAGTCAGGGCACATGCCTGGGTTGCAAGCCAGTTCCCAGCAGGGGACACACGAGAGGCAACCATACATTTTGTTGATATTTCTCTCCCTCTCTCTTTCCCTTCCTTTCTAAAGATAAATAAAATCTAAGAAATAAATAAAATTATATAAAAAACTTTTAAATGAAAACTGAATTACACATTTTTTTTCTCAAAAATCCAAGTTGCTACAAGTCTAAATATCATAACCTCCTTACCTGCAGTAAATAAACCAAAGGAACAAACTCTCACCCAGATGTGTAACACTGAGCATGCATGTGTTGTCTGGAGAACGGCTTTTAAAGCCTTGAACAGGCTTCTAGCCATCGCTCATGGTTGGTGTGCATTTACGTTAGTACAACGTATCAGAACAGCACAACAACCAACTCGATGAGTTATATAGTGTTTTAACGAACCTCCATTAATTGGAAGCAAAGCAGCGATTAGAATGAGACCAGCCCTTGATTTAAGAAAGGAATTGAGAGTTAAGGGAGCTGCAGTGAACTAGACTGGCCTGCGAGCTTTGCCTGCTGTGGAGTCCAAGAAAGAAATGTGGCTGATCGTTGACAGGAGAACACTTCTCATTTTCATACCACTTTTCACCTCACCTCAATTCAAAATAACGAAGGAGAATCCAGAATTTCCTTTGTATCATTCCTTTAATACATACCTTTGCTTTGTTCTTTTGGGAAGAGGGGCAGGGAGGGAGTAAAGGTGAGTTTTTACCACTCATTTTCACAGCTGGGCCACCACCCCAAAACAAAGCTACTCATGAGAAATGATTATCACTTTCATACCCAACACCAAAAACCAGACATTTTGGACATAGCTTCTGCTATTCCCTCCGCAAAAAGAAGAATGGATTGTTGGGACAGAATGTCACTAGGCAAAACTGGTAGGTTGCATCAGTCTTCCACTTGAAGAAATAAATAAAGTTTAGCCAAAGTTCTCTGTGGGAAAACCCACAGCCAGCCCTACCTTATAAACTCACATCCTTTCTGAAATAAGAACAGCCCCAGCTTTCTCAACTTTTGATATTTATTCTCTGGACACTAAAATTCACTGAAAACACAAATCTCTTTTCCATTGGTTTTTCTGTGCTACTCCTCACCCTCATTTCCCAATTCCTATTCAATGGCACTTTTCTCTTAACCCAAGGGCAGCAAACCCTTTTCTGGAAAAGGCCAGACGGTAAACATTAGGGGCTTTGCAGACCGTGCAAGGCAGCACGAAAGCAGCACTGCCCACACGTAAATGCCCAGCTCTGGCTGTGTCCCCCAAAACTTTATTTATGGGGGACAATCTGAATTTCATATAATTTCACAAGTCACGAAATACTACTCTTTAGATTTTTCTCCCACGATTTAAAAATGTAAAAACCATTCTGGGCTGCCAAGCTATCCACGAACAGGATTGGGCCTGTAGCCGTAGTTTGCTGCCCCCTGTGTTCGCCAGTCACCTGGCTGTACCTTCAAGGAGGATCACAGACCCTTCGCCCTTGCTATGTTCTGTCGGTTCTTCCTTCAAAAAACAGGAGAGCAGGCATAAAACTGTTTTGCGAACTGCAAAGCATGGTGCTAAGAAATTATTAACAGGTATAGCTCTCAAAACAGCCTTCTTTCCCACTTGTGCTACCTTATTTCATTCCTTCATGATCTCATCTAAATTCCTGCCACCGAATTTACGAGCAGACAGCAAGCAAGACAATGCGGGCCTTGGAGTGGCCTGCCTTTCACCGAGTGACCCCGTGCACACTCCTGACCCTGTGCTTCCATCTCCTCCTCTGGGAAATGGGATGGTGCTGGCCACTCCGTAGATTGTGTGAGGATTAACTGAGAGCATATTGGTTGGGGGCGACTGCCACCACTCCCCACCCATTTCCTTGACCCCCGAGGTCTCTGCTGTCCACGCTGTCCTCCTCGATGGCTGCCAGCATAACCGCTTCAAAACACAGATTCTGTTACATAACTTTTCCGCTCAAAAAAAAAAAACCCAAACTTTTTGAACCCAGCAAGTTCACTTGTAGGAATAATTACGGGGTTTATAAATATTTGGTTCTGTGAATGTTTGTAATAGTAAAAGATTATAAGTATTTTACACGGTTAAAAGTAAAAACAGCTTTAACCAGTGTGGCTTCGTTGGATATCATTTGCAAAGTGAAATCTCACCAGTATGAGTCCCTGTCAGGGAAAGAGCCTGGGTTTCGGGGTCTCCCCCAGTCGGGGTACAGAAGAGAGGCAACAGATCAGTTTCTCTCTCACACCAATGTTTCTCTCCCTCCCTCCCTCCCCCTCCCTCGGAAAATAAATAAATCTTTTTTAAAGAAAAGAGTAGGAACAAAGTTACTTTGCATTCACATGTGGAATTCTATGGAACCATTAAACAAGATGTTGCAAGACTGGTTACTGGGCATCCAGTTGCTGGTTAAGAGCAGACTTTCGTAGCATCGCCCAAAGGAACTTTCTGCAGTGATGGCCACAATCTGCATCTCTGCTGTCGCATACAGCAGCCGCGTGTGGCTGTTAATCACTTGGAATGTAGTTAGTTCAACTGAGGAACTCATTTTTAAAGTTTATAAATATTAATGAATTTAAATGTAAACAGCCACACGCGGCTGCTGGCGGCCACACTGAGCAGTGCAGCTAGAGAGACTGCCAGGGCTCCATGCCTCGCAGTCATCGCCTGTAAAATGGGAAGAGCAGCAGCACCTACTTCACAGACAGTGGTGCTCAGCGAGGTCCACTGCGTTACTGTCATTACTGTTGTTACTCTGTGCTAGGCTTAGTTAGGCACAGGCTTGTCACTGCCTACTTACAACATATTATTACATGAAGAAGACATCATAAAACCTATAGTATACTCTCATTTTTAAAAGTATATCATATACAAAGAAAAACCTATGAAAGGATATTGACCAAAATGTGAACAGTAGTTATGTCAAAGATTTTCTTCTTTCTGATATTTTTTTAAAATAAAGAGGACACACTACTTGTTATAGAAAAATAGTTAAGCCTTTCACTTCCACCCACTGCTTATCAGTTGAAAGAGCCATCCAAACTCCTCTAATCCAGGTAAGACCTACCCCTCTGGTTTATCTTCACCCCTCCCCTTCTTCCCCTCTCTGTGCCAAGGAAACTGGCTAGACCGTCTGCCCTCGCGACCCTTCCCCTCCTGTCCATCGGAGCAGTCTTAGCCTCCCCAGCTAGAAAGCTCTCCCCTCTCTTCCCCTTTTCAAATCTCTCATGCCTCCACCCTCCTTCCCTTAAACCGCTGCAAAAGAAAGGGACCTTCCCTCCGCCACCTTTCTGTAACGTGAATTGGTCCCCACTGCACACAGCCTTTCTAGGCCACATCTGCCTCAACAGGCCAAACCCCTTCAGGAGGGGCCAGCCGTCATGATATATGCCCACACCCCCCTCTCTCTACACTCGGGGCTGTCTTGGACACTGATCTTTTTCTAAATTTCTGTCGCAGAAATTTTCAAACAGACATAAAAGTAGAGTGTCACCTAGTTTTTTCGGCAGCTTGCCTTTTTTCCCCCTGGTGAGTCCTACTGCTGACTTCACTAGTTAATGGTGTGACAGTGACACAGTACAAGGACAGTGCTTACTTAGAACTATGCCTCGTGTCTGCTAGGTACTCAGAATGTGTTGGCAACTACTCCTGATGTTTTCTAGAAATGCAAAGTTGAGACTCACTGGGTTGTCCCCTTTTCAGGTAACACCTCGTAGCCCTTGGGATCACTTTGTTCACTCATTTCTGGAACAAATATCTACAGAGTGCAGATCCATTTCCAGGCTCATCTTCCATTGCCCTATGGTCTGAGGATACAGGGCAAAGACTCTATCTGCCTTCAGGAAGCTTACACGCTGAGGGACGGATCAAGGGAGAATAAATAAAACTAGCATGCAGGCAAAAATAATTACAATCTATGCAACTGTTAAAGGGGAATCTTCAGGAATACCTCCCCTAAGCCTATAGACCAGATCAAGTTTTGCATTTCATATCTCAAAGTGAAAAGGGGCATTATTGCTTTACGGCACTTAACATTTTATGGTATTTGAATGATTCTGTGATTAAATCCCCCCCCCCTCAATAGACTGTATATGCCCTGATTGTAGGGATAGAGGCAAACACAGGACAGTGCCGAACATAGGAGCTTTTAGGGACTCAATAAGTATCACTAAAGTCAATTAACTGACTCCCCCTTAACTGGAACTGGGGCAAGTGAAGGTTTGGTTCCCCCCCCCCCCCCCCCCCGCTTTTCTTTTTTAAGTAAAAAACCCCTCTCTAAACCGTTTCTGCATAAGCATGGACTGAGGGTTCTGAGATCTATTTGAGGACAAAAGCAGGAAAACAAACCCAAACCCTGCCGTCTAGGCGTGGTCCTCAACTCGGCCCAGCTGTGAAAAAGCAGGGCCCTTTCTTCTGGCTAAAAATAACCGGAGCCCTATGCCCCGGGGGAGGGAGGCAAAGAGTGTAGGGGACCTGCCAGGATACCCCTGCCCAACTGCTGTCCTAAATAATCTCCTGCTTCCTGAGAACCCCCAAAACGGTGCAGCGTTCACAGGGGGTGGGGATCCCCGCCAAGTGCTGGTGAGCAAGGGCGGCTGCCCAAACCAGATTTGCCCAAAAGGGGCCAAGTCAGGATTGCAGGTTGGGACTGCCCTGTTTGGGAACAGGGGGTCCCGGCTTGCCTTCAAGCCCCTCTGCTGTGCGACATTGCACGGGTCACCTAACCTCTCTGGGCCCCGCCCTCCCTCTAGAAAAAAGGAGCTTCGGCAGATGCCCTCTAAGGTCCAAAGAAGGTAAAAGCTCCACAGATGCTTCCAGCGAAGGCATAAAGTTGACTGCCAGCGGCCCGAGCTCCGGATATGCCGCCAGCACCTCAGCTGCGCCAAGTTTGAAGTCCGTTTCGGGGAGGAGCGGGTGGTTACCGTGGGGTGTGGAGGGCTCGGGCTGCCTCGAAGCCCCCCGCCCGGGCCCTGCTCACCTCCAGAAGCGGGTGGGCTCGGACGAGGTCTCCAGCAGACTGCGGCAGCCGCACTCGCCGCCCCTCAACCAGCAGCGGCATCGCGGAGGCAGCCACTCCGGCAGGCCCAGGGAGGCGATGGCCTCCCCAGCCGCCGGTTGCCCGCCGGCCCAGCCCCCGGGTCGCCCCGCCCCGCCCCGCCCCCGCCCCGCCGCTAGCGCCGACGGGAAGTGGAGTCCGAAGAAGAGACAGCGCAGCCCCTAGGTGAGGAAACCCAGGGCGGGGCCGCAAGGCCCCATGGGGAGTGTAGTCTAAACTCGAGGGAGGACGGCGGCCAGCCTCCTCCGCAAGGGGCGCTGGGAAATGTGGTCCTACAAGCGTGGAAATGAAGGTAGGGTAGTGGGGCTTAACTCGAGATCCTTTACTCAGAGCCATAGCTTAGTTCCCAAATCTGGTAACCTGGCTTCACTGCGGGGTGTGGGGGCTGAGTGCCTATTCACATCACAGCTCTACTGCATCTTGTTGTAACCTTGAGCAAGTCCGAGTTGGGAAAGTGTAATGCACCACAGGATTGTATTCAGTGATAAACGCACACCACACTCTTTTATTTACTTACTTTTAGAGGTGGGGGAAGGGAGAGGGAAACATCCTCTCCCAAGCCCTCAACTGGGGACCTGACCCTCAACCCAGGCATGTGCCCTGACTGGGAATCTAACCAGCGACCTTTTGATTTGCAGGCCCAATACCCTGAACCACACTAGCCAGGACCACATCAGATTTAAACTGGGAAAATAAGAGCCTGAACTTGGCTAGCTCCACATTTAGAAATCATCAATCACACCTGGCACTTGGCATCCAGTTGGCACTCATAGGCGGGAGTAAAGATCAGCAAGATAACGTAACAGTCCCTATTCAGCACCCTGGTAATAGTCTGGGGTTCTCTATTCTAAAACTTGGAAATATCACTCAAGTAGATCCAACTCTACATTAACAAAAAGTAATTTAAAAGGTGGTGAGGTGAAAGAGGAGCCATCTCATGGAGGAAAAAAAAACTATTCAAATGCAATTATCTATATTCCACCTTCTCATTTTTTTTTTTCGGAACACTCCCTAGGACAGGAGTTAAGAACCACCACAGCTGGCAGGGCCTGGCAGGGGGAGCACTCTGGCCCCGCCCCTTCAGTTCAGTTCTTAAGTTGGAATCAGCAAGTAACATGGGTGAAATGACAGTTATCTGTCTTAAAAAGAATTTTCTGTGGAGTGCTTCCTGTTTTAGGCTTTCTCACAAGGTAGCCAAGCAGCTATTAACTAACTTGACATACATTTCCACCAAATATTCACAGCTTACAGTAGCTACATGATTTCCACTTCGCAGCTCAACAAAATGAAGAGCTTTAAGTCACATACCTGGTTACAGAGAGAAGCCACTTATTAAGGAAGACCCGACCATAATGGACAAAGGGATGGACCCTGGTTCTCCTTCATCAACTGGTCTGCTTTTCAGTAAGAGAAAGAGAAAATCCCTTGTTTTCATATGAAGAAACTTCACAATTATTTTTCCCCCATGATGTTCCTTCAAAGCACATGAAGTTTTTGAGGAAGTATTCATCTTCCTTGAACCAGTTCAAGCCTCACTCAGCTCGTTGTGATCAAAGGGAGTCACTGACACTTCAGATGCACCTGCAAGTCATTCTCATCACCAAAATCCAATTTATTTTTGAGCATTCTAAATCACACTAAATCACAATGGCAACTTTTGCCTTTTAATAGTAAAATCTCAGTTGCAGTTTTCCATTGTTTTAATACAGTAGGTCAGTGAAGAAAGAAAAAAAATCAATCAAAAGAATATTTGTGTCTGAAACCTCCTCCTTTATTGGCCTAACAATAGTTCCAGATTAACCATGTCATTGTTTTATTGTCACAATGGGTTTTTTTTCTTAAGCTCCCTTGAAATTAAACAGACTTATTTATAAACATGTCCATCTACATTAAAATTACTTCCCAACCCACAAAGACCCCACTTACCATTCATTTCCATGGACACATTTCATGTACTCATTTTATCCGGTACAGAAAAATTCCACCTTGTCAGCAGTTAAGAAAGAGAACCTAAATGTCCTCAAATGACTTTCCACAAAGTCACCAAAAGAAAATCACCAATATTCAAAACTTTTTAAAGCAATAAAAATTCATATTTTCCAAGAACATATTTACAGACTGAAATTCAAACTCTACATTGCCTTCAATACATTTATACAAGAGCATACAAAGCCCCAGGAAAGTATTTCATTACAAAATATTTCTCATCAAGAAAATATTACTTGCCCTTAAATAAAATACAGGAAAAGGGGTAGAAAATAAATATGTTTAAAGATGTCCATTCTCACGAGTAACAAAATAGTATACAAATAAATGAAGCTAAAATATGCATGAACTTTAAAACGACTCTAGCAATGTGTGCACAAATTTGTTATAAAGTAAGGTTTCGACAACTCTCTGTGTTTAGTTATAAAAATACAAAAAGAACCTAGACAGAGGGTTTCACTGAGCTGAATCCATGATACAAATAGCCAGTGGACAAAGAATGCAGCTGTAACCTTGGCTTTTGATGCTAGCAAAACCATCCCACCAAATGACCTAAAATGTACCCCACCCTCTCAAAGAAATTTTCAAGATAAGAGCTGGTCTACTAATTCTGATAAAAAAAGTTTTTAAAAAAGTTAGTATTTCACTACAAACAAGTAGTTTCAGTTCTAACAGCATCCTTGGGAGTTTCAGGGTAAAATGCTCTGTGCTTGTATTTTATGAAAGTCCAACCCCACTTTCGGTCAATGGGAATTACTTCTACCCGAACTCCATTTTTCTTTTCAATCCACCTTTACACTCACCAGCATACGCCCTGTTTCCCTAAACCTCTCTTCCCTCCAGGCCCTTCATGGTCTCCAATGTCCCTGGAGAGCGCTAACTTTCAGCACCTGGGACCAGCTCTGCCCATCTCCCCACTTTCGTCCTGTCTCCTCTGCACCCCACTAAACCCCAGCACACAAATACAGTTACAGCACAGGGCACCCAAAACAATGTACTTAAAATAAACTCATTCTAAAAACCTTAATAGTGTCCTAGCGGATTTCCACCCATCAGCAAAGTCCTATACTTGTGGCTGCGACCAAAACCTATGTTAAAGAACCAATCTGTTAAAACAGGATGTTGCTGATAATAGAAATTTCACAATAATTACATCAAGAAGCTGTAACAGATAAATAATGTATACCTTAAATTAAGCCTTCAACATTTGTCATCAGTTCTATTGTAAAATATTGCACATGATATTCAGTCTTTTCCTTTTGTCTGTATGGGAACAAAAAGAAATAAACACATGTCTATTCAGACACCAGAGTAAGTGTAACATGAAGGTAAGCTGCCTGAGACAGGCCCTTGCTCTTGTCTGATGTGAAGCTCCAAGAGTGTGCACCCTGGTACTGAAGGGCAGGATGGGGAGGGATGTTTGTCTCAATCACAAATCCTTGCCACCAGAGGCAAATGGTCTGGCAAGTCCAACACTGGCGGGGAGCCCACACTACTTGAAGGACTTCGGAAATGCGTGTCAAAGGAGTTTGGTGTGATCCCAACTTCGCCTTTCAAAAAGTCATCATCTTCATCTTCTACCACCTCCTGTCAGAAGAACAGAGATTATCAATAAGGTTACAAAGTCATTTGAAAAGCTTCCAAGAATTCCTTTCCTTAGGAATATGCTACTTCTGGGAAAGTAAATATTTAAATTTCAAAAGCCTCCTCTGATGCCTACTAAATTGCTCATCACATGTTGTCACTATTTGTTTCAAGTCTGATTTTTTTTTAGCTCTGGCCGGTGTGGCTCAGTAGATTGTGCCAGCCTGCGAACCAAAGGGTCATCTGTTTGATTCCCAGTCTAGGCACATGCCTGGGTTGCAGGCCAGGTCCCCAGTAGTGGGGGGTGCAGGCAGGCAAGAGGCAAGCACACACTGATGTTTCTCTCCCTCTTTTTCTCCCTCCCTTCCCCTGTGTCTAAAAATAAACAAATAAAATCTTTTTTAAAATATTTTTTTAATTTATTTTTAGAGAGAGGGGAAGGGAAGGAGAAAGTGGAAGAGAAACATCAATGTGTGATTGCCTCTATGTGTCCCCTACTGGGGACCTGGCCTGCAACCCAGGCATGTGTCCTGACCGGGAATCGAACCAGTGACCCTTTGCTTCACAGGCCCATGCTCAATCCACTGAGCTACACCAGCCAGGGCTAATCTTTTTAAAAATAAATAAAAACAAAGTCTGATTTTTAAAAAAAGATTCAGTGAGGGAAGGCAACATATGTCATTCTTGCTCACTATTATAATCCTTGTATTGACATCTAATACAATGTGAATAAGTGAATGAATGGCAGCAGCCTCAAACACAAAATATAAAGAAAAATAATAAAGGGATCTTTCCAATGATTACTTATGACAAAGGAGACAGGCACATAAAGCTGACTTTTAATGTGGAGAGAAATGCGACACAAAGCAATGAACGGTGACACGACTTATTCCTGACTCTGATTCTCTCCTTTGGCAGTGACTGCCTCGCCTCCACCCGACAGACACTGGAGGTCACGCTGCAGACCTGCGTCTTCACCACCTTCTCAGGGAGCTACAAAATCAGTGCTAACCTCTATAAAATTACAGTGTCACTTACAGTGCCAACACAGTCAATCTGCCATTTACCTGGTGGCAATGATCCAGTAGTAAAGACCTAAATTTGTCCAGCTGATTTTTAATTAACCTTCACTTTCCAAAGGTAATGTATGAAGTGTCTGGTTTAAATAATTCATAAAAAAACATCAAAGACTCTTTTCTTAAGAACATACCCTGAATTTGGAATTTTGTAAAGACAGAATAAAGAAAATGTCCTATTTTTTTAAAGATTTCATTTATTTATTTCTAGAGAGACGGGAAGAGAGGAAAAGAAACATCAGTGTGCAAGAGATATATCCATTGGTTAACTCTCGCACGCCCCCAGCTAGGGACCTTGCTTGCAACCCAGGCACGTGCCCTGACTGGGAATCGAACCAGCACCCTTTTGGCTCACAGGCCAGAACTCAATCCACTGATCCACACCAGCCAGGGCTAAAATGTTCTATTTTTAAGTGTAACATTGCTATTTCCTATTTGACTAT